TAGATGCTTTATTGATTGTTGCAGTTGTATCCTAAATCAAGTCTTATCATAGTTCTTCTGTTGACTTTTTGGGTTTTCGGAGCTGACAGTCATATTGAGTGCTTTTCTTTTCTGCGTCTGAGTTCATGGGCGAGCTTGCATTGTAGAGTTCCTTTAGCAGTGGTTCTCAACCTGTGGGTCGCGACCCCTTTGGGGGTCGAACGACCCTTTCACAGGGGTTGCCTAAGACCATTGGAAAACACATATATAATTACATATTTTTTGCGATTAATCACTATGCTTTAATTATGTTCAATTTGTAACATTGAAAATACATCCTGCATATCAGATATTTACATTACGATTCATAACAGTAGCAAAATTACAGTTATGAAGTGGCAATGAAAATAATTTTATGGTTGGGGGTCACCACAACATGAGGAACTGTATTAAAGGGTCACGGCATTAGGAAGGTTGAGAACCACTGCTTTAGAGGTTCTTTAACACATTCAACTGTCGGAGGTTTGCAAGCTTTGTGGAATTACTGAGCTGTCAACAAATTGGTGGACTCTCTTCTTTCTTGCCTGCTAGCTGGGGCACTGACCTCATGTGGATCCTCACCCAGCAAAGCGGGCACTCCCCCCTGACACTGACTTGTTGGCATGGGAGCATCGGGAAAAGGGCATGAGGCCCAGGAACTCTGTTCAGCTCGAAGGATAAGCCTGTATGTACTGGGGTGTTATGCTGTTGGACACATAGAATCGTAAAGCCATTCTAGAACCCATATAGAATCCAGAAAACATTCTGCATGAGATAACTTTTGCCTGTTCTTAAATAGTACATTATAGCACAACTAGTCACTTTGAGTTGGTGAGTGCATTTAAATTTCGTTTGATAACTGCAGCATTACAAATTCAGTTTAGTACATATTTTCATTGTGTAATTTCATGTTAGGAAGAAGGGGCTTAGAACAAGTGAACCTAGTCTTTCCTCTGAGAAAGAACGTGCCCCTCCTGCAGGAAAGCTAAGAAGGAGCATGGGAAACCTGGGCTGCCCCGCCCGACGGAGGCTGTGCAGGATGTTTGAGAGCCGGCCCCTTAGCCACCTGTCCTCTGCTTCCTATTATTATTGACCAGGTAGAGCTCAGTGGGTGGTCAGCAAAGGTTCCACCTGGGGCCTGGGCTTTAGACACCGCCTGTGGAGCAGGGCAGGAAACATGTGCCCCGCTTGCCGAGCTGCAGGGCTGCGAGGATTTCCTGCCATGAGTCCGCCCAGGCTGAGTGTGTGCATTGGAGCCTTTGTTTCTTCATTCTGCAAATGTCTGTGGACAGTGATAAAGAGGGAGAAGACAGGTAGCCGGGAGAACACAGCATGCATACATTCATGTTAGTTAGCCAGGAGACTTGGAGGGAAGTGAAGCTAGAAGGAGTGGGTATGGTTGGGCGGTGTGCAGGCAGGGAGGGCCTCTGGGGTGGGGACATCCGGACAGAGCTGGCTGGAGTGAAGGAGGATGTGTAGGTGTCCAGGAATGGGCAGAAGCTCTGAGCTGGGCACAGGCTTGCCTGTTTGAGTGACAGGAAGCAGGTCCTGAGGCTGGAGCTGAGAGAGGATGTGATGGGAGGAGGGGCTCACGAGTGGGCAGCCTGAGTTGCGGGGCCACATTGCAGAGTTCCTAGGGATGAGGAGGATAGGGACACGATTTGACTTCTGTTTTAGAAGCACCTCCTTTTAAAACTGTAGAGGGGCGACCATGGAGGCAGGGGAGCAGTCAGGTGGCAGCAGCGTCCAGGTGAGGGACCTTGCTGTGGGACCCAAGTGTCACTGTGAGAACAGACTGGGGGTGGGGTGCAGGTACATGCGCCGATGGGTTGGATGGCGTTTGTTAGAAAGGAGAGGAATCAAAGGAAAGGTCCATTTGGGGAGGGTCTGGGCATTACGGAAGTGGGAAGGCTTTGTAAGAAGTTGGGTGGGGGACGGTGGCATTGGCAGGCATTTTGTTTCAGAGACGCCTGTGACACTACCAGATAGGGGTGTTGAGACAGTGGTCAGGTGTATAGGCCTGGAGTTCAGGGACAGAGTTGGAGAACCTGAAGGTGAAAACGAAGAGTTGGGAATTTGTAGCAGGCAGTTGATCTTTCTCACTTGGGCCATCTTGTGATCATCAGTCTGGGAGGCTATGGAGGTACCGTGCTCTGGGCCACCCAGCTGCACAGGCCCAGAGAGCAGGAGGCAGCTCTGGCAGGGGACACAGAAGTTGAAGGAAAGTTTGGAGAGTGGGTGTCCTGAAAACCAAGGGGAGGCACTTCAGGAGAGGGTGTCTTGTTGAATGCTTTTTAGAGGGGCATCCCGTGGAGGCCGAGACTGTTAGTGACCTTGGCATTGGCCCCTATGAATGCGGCTGAAGCAATCAACTCAAAGGCCTTGGCAACACGGTGCTCTCTCGTTGACTACTTTTTGTCAGGAGGGAAGGAGGGTCATGTTTCAGCTAACATTTTAGGCCCCATAGTGTCTGGATTAAATAATGAACCAGATTAGGAAACTCCAGATTAAGAAATAGATAAGAAAAATAAACTCTTTAGTTTAAATTTCTAACCGCTTTGGTATGACATAGTTATATCTTAATGTAGGTATAAATTATTATTATTTTTATTCTAACCACTTTGATGTTCATTGTAATGTCCTGAAGGTCAGAAATGAGTTGATATTCTGTTTACTTTAACTTGCTATGTTAGATGATAAAGATGAATAACAGTTTTTCCATGCCCTTTTTTGTACAATTTATTTTTTTATGGTTGTTAATCCTCACCTGAGGCTATTTTTCCCATTGATTTTTTTTAAAATATTTTTTTTATTGATTTCAAAGAGGAGGGGAAAAGGAGAGAGAAATAGAAACATCAGTGATGAGAGAGAATCATTGATTGGCTGCTTCCTGCATGCCCCCTACTAGGGATCGAGCCCGCAACTTGGGCATGTGTCCTGACTGGGAATTGAACCGTGACCTGCTGCTTGATTGTCTCCCACATGATCCATTGAGCCATGCTGGCAGGGCTTTCATTGATTTTTTAGAGTGGAAGAGAGGGAGGGAAGGGGAGAAAGAGAGAGAGAAAGAGAGAGAAAGGAACATTGATGCAAGAGAGACACATCACTTGATTGTCTCCCACATGTGCCCCAACCAAGGCCTGGGATTGAACCTGCAACCCAGGTACATGCCCTTGACCAAGAATTGAACCTGAGACCCTTTGGTGCACAGGCCGATGCTCTAACCACTGAGAAACACTGGCCAGGCCAGTAAAACTTATTTTTGCATTTAAACCAGTGATTTACAACGTGGGGCACATGCCTCACAGGGAGGCAGTTCGATTTTTTAGTGGGGGCAATTCTAGACTGAGATATTAACAGTGAATTTTTTGCATTTCTCACGGTTCTAGGGGCCTCATATACAGTATATAAATATATAATGTGACATATTTATGCATTTCAGTTCTCTATTGTATGTTTTGAATATTTGCTATTTTTTCATATCACTTCATATTATTATTATTATTTTTAACAATTTCTTAGTGATTTCTTCCTCAGTACTTCAACTGTCCTTTCCTTCTTTTATTTTTCTCTTTCATGGATGCCATGTTCTTTGGAAGCTTGTCTGGACCAAGTTAATGGCCTTTAGGCTTCCCCCATGTGAATAGGAGTTCACTTTTTGAATAAGAATTATATGTCACAGGTGGGGGGGTAATCTGGATTTTAAAGATGCTTAGATGGGGCAGAGCCAAAAAACGGTTGGGAACCACTGATCTAAACCAAAATGCTGTCTTCATCTTGCTGTTGGGATTTTACAAAATGATGTGGGTGTTAGAGAAATCTTCCAGTTTTCCATCCTTCACTCTGTTCTAGAAAATGCCCACAGGGAAGACTGGGAAGTGCTTGCTGTGGGCACTTGGGGGGCTGTTCTGTGGCTTGCCTTTCTTTTTCTGTTTGAGGTCGGCAGTGTGACGGCAGTGTGACGTGGGCACGCAGCCTCACCTGCTGATAAGGAGCAATTAGATGTATGAATTTCAAATTCAAATGGGATGATGTTAATTAAATACCAGTAATTGTAGCCTTCTGTGATGTTAAACTAAATTCTTCAGAAATACTAGAATTCTTTAGTGTCATTGAAGGGAAAAAAAAGTGTAAATCTGACGGTAGGGAAAAATAAAAATTTTTAGGCTGAACTTACCGTATATCTCTGATTTTTAAAATGTTGTGCCTGTGGCTAGAAGAATGATAGGCATGTCTTTCCTACCATGTGTTTCCCCCTAAGATACGAACCACATTTCTGAAAGTTGTGTGTCTGCAGCCCTGCTCCAGTGGGGTCCCCAGGCCCTGCGTGAGGTGGCCTTGCTGTTTGTTCCAAGTGGGTCAGCTCTGTTTTATCTGGGTCTCCAGCACTGCGGGACGACTGCATAAAGGCACTGACTGAACTGGAGCAGGAGGACTCCTTACAATGAAAACACTCTCACAAAGGGCCCACGTGCTGCAGTGCAGTCGCTTCTTGGGGTGGTGCATTTATGTCATCCTTGCGGGAGCTTCTCTCAGCTGTAGGCAGGGTCCAGGCGGGAGCTCCCAGGCAGTCCCTGGGCCAAAGGAGAGGGGTGGGGCATGGAGTGGCTGGTGTAGTCCCAGGCCTTGGGAAGAATTCCACCTCCCAACCCCTGCAAGCCCACGGATCCTCCTTTCATTGGCACATGGGTCAAAGTGAATGAGATGATATCCACAAGGTGGCTGGCCTGTCTCAGGCATGCCATACCACTCTGCTCCTTACCCACACGTTAGTTTACTGGGAGCCCCTGGTGCCCATGTTGTGCCAACCCACCGAGGCCCTGGCTAGCCTGTGCCCAATGCCAGATGGCTGGCTTTGTGTTGTCAGGGATAGGAGCAGAGTTCATGTTTTTGTTGTTATCATTTGCTTTTTCAGGTGGGTTAAAGGATCCCATAAGGAATTTATCCATTTAATTTTTAAAGTGTGAACTGTTTCTCCCCCTCCTTGAGGTTGTGGTGCAGGCTGCCTGCTCTGCCTGTTCTCTTTACTGTGGTTTGACAGGCCCAGCCCTTGCGGAACAGGAAGCCATCTGTGCCTTTACTTTGCTTGAGTCCCTCATTTAATTTTGTTTTATTGTTTAAATTTTCTTACTGTGAAAGATACAGAAGTAGAGAGATTAGAATGATTAAGACCCATATATCTCTCACCTAGATCCATCGTGATGACATTTGGTCATATTTGCTTCATTAATAGCTGTGTAACTTTATTTATTTTTAATTCTTTATTGCTGAAAGTATTACATATGTCTCCTTTACTCCCCATTGACTTCCTCCAGCCTGCGCCCCCCCAACCCCGGCCCAGGTTCTCCCCCCATGCATATATGCATAGCCTCATTTGTGTCCATGGGTTATACATATATGCATATAAGGTCCTTGGTTGGTTTCCTCCCCCCGCACCCCCCACCCATCCTCCGCCTTTCCTCCAAGATTCCACACTCTGTTCCATGCTTCCATGTTTCTGGATCCACTCCATTCATCAGTTAATTTTGTTACTTAGATTCTACATATGAGTAAGATCATGTGATACTTTTCTTTCTCTGACCGACTTATTTCACTTAGCATGATACTCTGCAGGTCCCTCCATGTTATCTCAAAGGATAAGAGATTCTTTTTTTTTTATTGCTGCATAGTATTCCACGGTATAAATGTACCACAGCTTTTTTAGCCACTCATCTACTGATGGGCACTTGGGCTGTTTCCAGATCTTACATAGCTATGTATTTTTATGAAATATTTCACAGTATATTGAAAACATCCTAACAGTTTACCTCTACATATTTCCCTTTAAATATCTCAGCATGTAGCTCAAAAAATAAAATAAAAAAGACGTACTCCTACACAGCACAAAATTATTGTTGCACCTAACAAAATTCTCTTGCTATCTGACCCCGATACACCTAAAAACCCAGGCTGTATTCTGATTGTGTCAAAAAAGTTCTTATGTTTTTAAAAACCAGGATCCAGTTAAGATTGATACACTATATTTTTATCATAATTTTTGCCTCTTTACTTTGAATTTAGAATCCCGCTCCCCA